CAAAACTAGTTTAGAAACTTTTTTTTATCCTTAGAGCAAGATTAGCCAAATTTTGGCAAACGCTTTTCTTCCCAAATGGGACTAATTCAAACCTAAGTTAGTCCCATTTTGAGGAGTTGTCGAACGGGTCATAAGAGTGTGTTTGACAACTCGTTAAAACTAGGCATTTAGATTGTTTTGTTGATTGGGAAAAAAAAACTGAATCAGAACTAGCCATTTTGCTCTAGTTCACTTTTGGAGATCTAAACTTGTTTAGTTGTAGACTTTGGAGGAGTTGGTCCACAACTAAACCAATTCAGCTCCGAATGAGTTAAAGGATCAAGTGTGACTCAATTTTAAAAAAATGTCAAAAACACCCAAGAATTAGGATTTGTTTAGTAAATTCTTAAACTGGGCCAGGATTTAGCTTGGGCCAGTTTTGGGTTTATTTGTAATTGGTAAAAATCTAGGCCAAGGCCGCTCTTCTTAGGCCAAAAATAAACCTTAGAATCAGTTTAGTGTTTGATCAGCACCCAATTGGTCCTACTCTAAAATAGTTTAGAGAAGAAATGAGCCAGGATTAAACATGACCCAGTTTGTAGGTGATTGCCAAATACACCATTAGAGTATGGTGGCAACCTCTTAAAACTGGACCGGGGTTAACTTTTTTCTAGTCTAGTTTTGGATGCTTTTTGTTAGGGAAAAAACAAGCTAGAATTGATCCTATTTTGTAGGCCAAAATTTGGCCATTACATTTACACCGGCTCTAGTCCGGACCATATCCCTTCCCTAGTCCAAACTAGATTGATTTATGATAGAATTGGGTTCTAGCCCAGTTTTGAGTGGTTACCAGACACACCCTAAATATTCATTTATGAAGACTGACATCATTTCAAGACTTAGAGGGTGTTGAGATGACTTATTTTTTTGAAACTTATAAGCTACACCGACTTTTATGATAAAGATTTTTATAAAGCTTGTATGGGTAGAAAAATCTTTTACTTGGTCCACCATAGCTTATTTAGATGAGTTTATAAGTTAATTTTTAAAAAGTTAGGGTATCCCAACTTTGCTAGATGTGGCTTAAAAGCTAATATTGGAGATGTCACCAAAATGTAGATTTTCAAAGCTAAACTTAAAAGCTACAATGAACAAAATAATAATAATAATAATAATAATAATAATAATAATAATAATAATAATAATAAATATTAAAAAAATTAAAAAAAAACTCCCCCAACACCCACTTAGTAACACACATGGTGCGCCCAAAACCTAGTTAATCTATACTATACATTTAAGAAAAGCCCACTTTTGATCTTCTCCGTGCGTGTATGTTAAATTTTAGAAATCCCAAAACTACCCTGACACTTTGAAAATCAAAAGAAAATGCCATTTATGTTAGGGCATCTCCAACCCAGCCCCATTTTGGTGCAAACAATGCTTTTTGTTGCACAGTTCCTTCTCCAATCCAGCCTCATTTTCTGCTCCATTTTGGTGCAAATGAACAGTGTTGTACCAAATATGGCGTCGCACTGTTCATCCGCCCCATTACTGTTCACTTTTTTTTAAATTTTTTAAATATTTGTTTTTACCTCTCAATTAATATAAAAATAGATAAAAGAGAATAAAGTGAGAATATACTAAGAATATTTTTTTTTGGTGCAAAAAATGGTGTAATGGGTTGGAGATGTATTACTGTTTGATGTGACTTTTGCACAATTTTGATGCAAAATTTACACTATTTTGATGCAATGGGTTGGAGATGGTCTTACAACAATAAAAAAAATCCTTAGACTTGGAAAAATCAATGAAACTTCCATTGCACTTGGAAAAATCAACATTTCGACTACACTAGTCTCCCACATTATATGCTACACATGCATCGCTTGCATCAGATTACTTCTAGAAGAACATTTACAAGGATAAAAATATGTGAGAATAGAGAGAGGGGAAGTACGAGTGTCTCCTAATGAGCGTCTTGTGCATTGCACGCTTGAATGAGCACAATCTTAATTAGTCTCTACTTTGCCGTCGGTTACGATTCTTCTGAAGATTAGAAACAAAACTAAACAGTTCCTGAAAACTACAAGATCACTTGTATCACGAAACACAACCATCTGAAAAATACCCATATAGATGGGCAACAACCATGAGCTTGAAGAGTTGTACATCACATCAATCATCAGGTTGTAAGAGCTCAACAAGAGAAACTAGCAAGCCAATTGCATCATGACAAAATTCATAAATGTCACAATTATCAAACTAGTCTCCAGAAGACGTATGTATGTATGTCAGAACCTACATATTTCCAAATCCAAGCCATTTCTGATTCAAATGGGATCCACATCATATGCATTAACATCATGAGTACAGACTGCAGAGCCAGGTTACGTATGGTTGTAGCATAACTATCGACTCCTGATAACAGAAGCAGTGATTGATCAAGATTCACCCAAGATCATATTGATTTAGCCCAGCAGTCACCTGACATTTATCTTTAAGCTTTTGACCACAAAATTGTCCAATGAAAGATATTTCATGCACATATGGCAAATGTTACTGTTCCACGCATGACTACGAATGCTTCGGCTGCCTTTGCATTTTTGTTGGTGCTTGCTAGTTCCAATAGTTGCAGCAATTAGCCTCTTTTACCTTTCCTTTTTCTTCTATCTCTACAAGATTGGAATTTGTTGATGTTGGAAAATCGATGAGTGGTTTAGTGGAGGTGAACTTGATGTGAGGGTCCATTAATCTCCTTTGATGGTAGACTCTCATGTTCCAAATCTTGGACCATAATTCTCTGCACATGTAACAGAAATTAGAGGCCCTGGAGGTTATTTCCTCCGGAGTGCCCTCCAACACTCAAGTTAGCGACTAATCTTACTCATATGAAGAGAGAAATAGAGCATAGCCTTGGTGCGGTTCTGTAGGCTGTCTAAAAATCACAATGGATAGCTGATCCCTAACAAGCCCCGACGATGGAAGTTACAATCAGACGACTTTCTAATTACTACATCTGCAACTCTGCAACCGCTATAAACATGGCCTCATCTATGAGATGATTGATCTTGATGGCTGCGACAACAGCATGACTAATATTATATTAGTAACTATTAGAGATGCTGATGAGCAGTGTAATGATTTCAGAAATAAAAGATTGGACTTAGTTGGTGAGTTGCTTGGTAGAGAGCTGTGGGCAAATATTCGTCTAAAAATCACTATGGATGATTGATTCCCGTCAAGTTCTAACAATGAAAGCTACAATTAGATAGCTTTCATGCCAACAAACGAAAGCTGCAAACGGAGGACTTTTCACATAGATCAAGAAGAGTTACAATCCAACGACGCTTCCGACAACTGATGAAAACTCTATTCAGTAGTCTTCACAATCTACAGTGAAAGTTACAATCTGACGACTTTCACACCCCACAATAGCTAAAGCTAGGATTACTGAACAACGGTCCTTGCAACGCTCTGTAAGAGAGGTTACAAATCAACTAACCCCTTCTAAAAAGCGGAAGTCATCCCCGCGTCATAATTTTGGAAATGCAGGCGACCCCCGCGTTTCCAAGCTATAACAAGCCAAACGCGAGCGACCCTCGCGTTCTGGAGGTTCAACCAACACCGACCCCCGCGTTTCCAAGCTATAACAA